TCCGATCTCCCCAAAACCCCAAAACCCCTCCTTCTTAAATAATCCATAATAAATGATATTGGTTATTAAATCAATCAATTTGATAATAATTAAATATTCTTTAATGAGTTCAAATGTTTTATTGATCTTGATCAACATTTGAATCTCTGTGCTAATGAGTTTCTTCTTCTGTATCATTAGGTTCATCTTGCTCAAACACAGGTCCATCTCTATGTACCAAACTATCATCTTAAGAGTCATTCTCATTATCCATGTCATCATCATTATCATCAGCTGAAAGATCCAGCTCATCAGTTTCATCTACCTATTGATTATTCTGGCTGTAATCAAATTGCTCATAATTCTACTATTGAGATGCATTAATTTTGAAAGATTCTATTTAGTTTAATTAACTGGCTCTTTCAGAAGGTCCATCCATTTTAAACTTCATTACAATTTCTTTAGTTTCCTCTAAATCATTATTCAAACCAGTACTATTTGTAGAAACAATGCTTTACTTTTTTCTGAAACTTTAGTTAATAACTTCTGTCCTGCTATTCCTCCTTTATAATAACGATTCTTAAGAATTCTAAGAATTAGAGTTTGTCTTTTACTATTGAATGTAAAGTTGAGTAGAATGTCCACTAGTAACATGACTTTAATTATCCTTTCCAGGAGGTAATCGCTTTAATGACGTCTTATGTAAAGAATTCCCAGTGTTGCTACTAGCTTCTGACAATTAGCTAGTTATATTTTTTGCTTTGCTTTTAGTTATTTGTAGGGTGCTCTACGTTAAAATCTTTTAATTCTGAGAAATTGGGGAAAGTTTTTAATTGTTGTTTGCAACCACTGTATTTTTTTGAATAAATTAAGCATTACCTTGGTTTAATGAATGAGTGGGTAAGGGGGATATGATAGGTGCTTATCCTGATTTGATCTTTGAAGTTGGTGATTTTTCTTTTACTATGGACTATTATGTATAGATGTTTTTCTTTTTCTTCTTTTTTGATGCATCCTCAACTTCCTTTTTCTTTTTCAACTCTAATTTCTTCAACTTGTTACGAGTATACTTTCTCCAGGCATATGCTATTTTTATCTATGAGTCGATGAATAGTTTTCTTTTGATTTCTTAAAAGTAGTTAAAGCATTCTGAAAATTTAGCACCTATTAACATTTTTTGGACTTACTTATAGGCTAAGTAACCCCTGCAGTAACTCTACATTAATAAAACAGATTTATTCTTAATCCTGATAATCAGTTTAGGCAAAATGTTCCTTCTTCTGTAACTAAGCCAGAATCTCTATACTATTAATGTTGCATTTAACCGAACATTTAGTGCATATAGATAAGCTTTTCTAGCTATTCTAGACTTAAAATTCTTTTAAATAATGATAGCAGCATCATTTTGCTTTTTGAGCCTTAATTTCCTCTCCAATATTATCTCCAGATGCAGATCATCGATGTTTTTATATTTATTTTCCATTTGCTTTTAAGTTAACTAGATTCCATGTTGATTGTAGTATTTATTCATAATCAATTACTTTTTATGTTCAACTTCACTTTTATGTCTTATTTATTCAGCTTTATCCTTCATCCTTTCAATAGAGAGAGCCATTCTCTCTTTTCTAAGGGTAGTTGTATGCAATGTGTGATCTGCAAATAAGTCTGCATGGTGCTATCTTCAAGCTTTTTCTCTGACTAATCTCTCCATTAAAAAGGTACTCATCAGTCCTTCATTCTTCTCTTTCTTGGAAAATCTCGCTTGCTTTATGTTCTGTAGCAATGATGTATTGTATTAAGACATTTGACTTTCAAATATTTCGCTTTGCTTACTATATTGATGATTGTTTTTTAAGTGAGGATTTAATGTCTAATTAATCCTCTTATTTTTAACGAAAGGTGCAGAAAACATATTATTTTCTAATGAAGTGTTGTAGTTTACCTTGTAAGTATTATTTATTTGTGGGTGGAGATTTTTATTAATCCTGAAGTCTTGCTTGACTACAATATTACTTTAGTTATAATTTTAAATTGAAAAATTTCTAGAATGCTCTGACTGTTTATTGATACTTGACAGCTAAGAATTTGTAGATTTAAATCTACTCTAATTAGAATTCAAAGCTGATAATTTTTAAATATCAATCATGTCTGAATTGTTAGTAGAATTCAATTAATGAAGAGGCAATTAGCTCTGCTAAAATACTTAATGCTTTTATTGTTATTATTGAAATCGCATGTTATAGTTATAATCTTCTGACATAAAGTGCTATTTTATAAAGGGTATTGATTTATTTTTATTGTGCTTAGATGTGCTTGAATTTTTATAATTCTGCTTGCTTTTTTTCATGCTACTTTGGTTCCTATCAGTGAAAGAATTTTCATCATTTATGATACTTATTAACCTGCTATGTCTGTTAAGATCTGGGAGTAACGGATCTGGCTACTAAGAATGAAGAGATTAATTGGTTATTGTTTAATAATCAGATATTGTATGGCTTCCATTAACTGAGTCAATTTAGTAATTTAAAGACGATGCTCCCATCCTGTCTTCTAATGGTTTTTGCCGAGATTGTGCCCTCGATGCAGGATTTGATAGTATCACACTCATTTATTATAATAATATTAATTTAACTTATACTTATTTATTTTTTGAAATTCTCATCCAAAAATAATCAAAGTTATTAGGCAGATTGGGGTTTTGGGGTTTTGGGGTTTTGGGG